ATTATCAGAAAATAAAAGCGGTAACTATTCTAAATTTAAAGTCAAATTACTTAAAATTCAATAAAACAGATTATTTAGAATGCTTTCCTAATGAAAAAGGTGCTGGCATTATAGTCGTCAATTGTTACAACTGTTATCCGTAGATAAAATTGTTTAGCATAAGCCTATTCAGATAGTTCTTAACGTTGCATAAAAACTCCCAATTCCGTATTAATAAATGCTTTTCTGCGATATCTTAAACTAAAAGTAACATTTGTTTCAAATCAGATTAATTCAACTTTAAATCAGCTAATATCAACTAACATTTCATAAAAGTATATTTTATTTTTGAAAGAATTTTTTTAATAAAGAGAATTAATTTGTGCTGAGAGAATTGTAAATATGCCTAAAATCAGCCATTTTAGCGACTTCAAAAAATAAACTCATTCTAATCAATTTAAATTCGTTTTGAAGTATTTTGGTAATGAAAATATTTAATTTAATCTATTACCTAAACTAAAATAAAATAGAACTATAATATTATAAACTAAAACTGAAATAAAAGCTTACAGAAATATTTTCATTTTTAAAAATTCATTTTAAACATCGCCTTTCTTTGGAGGCACCAACAGCTTGAAACTATATTTTTTCATCGCACACACACACATATATATGTAAAAAATCAAAAAAAAAAAAAAATCAGAATCAGTTGAAATTACAGTGCGTTTTTTCTTCTTAACGTAAAACATTGTAGATCTCATAAAAACTGCTTTATTTTTATAATGAATATGTTCATCAGATGAAGCCTGGTATGTTTCTGAGGTCGAAGCATCATTATAACTCACTATATTTTATGCTTGGGAAATGTATGAATCAATCTCCCCCAGCTATGGGTTGAATAGCAGGACAGACTAGGTCCTATAGCCTTGGTTGGCAACTCATCTGCCGCAGAAAGAAGCAGCAGCCTACTGCTGGAAAATGTTCTGCCACGTTAGTCATGAATCAAGAGAGATATGACCGTCCAAGGCGTGTATCATGATGCGCGATACCCCCCAACATTTGTTACCAAATCTATTCCGATGCAGTCTCTTTCCTATATTGGTATATTTTAATGTTTCTTCTTCTCTTTTAATGGCTGTCAGGGTTGAGTCAGGTATGCCTAGCTAGAATTTCTTTAATCATTCACCCCAAGAAAGGTAATAAAGCTACTAAGACGCAAGAAGTTACTGAATGTCAAAGAATATGAGAAAAATACCATTAAGGAGAGAGAACAATAAAAGAACACGAATTAAGAAGACAGAAGATAGCGGTTGACATTGCATTTTAATTTTTTAATATCAAAGTTAAGTGGGAAGTAAGAAACAGAAAGAAAATTCCACAAGCAAGAAGAACGAGAGAAGAAACTGTTAAGATAGAACTTACGGTTACATCTAGTCATTTCAATTGTAAAATGATGAGACCTAGCCGCCAATCTAGTCCTGCGCTTAAATTCATAAATTCTAAGTAATATAGAGGAAAGTTCATCAGAACAATTACTATGCAAATATTTATACAAAAAAACAAAAACAACAACAAAAAAACAAAAAAGCCAAACAAAGCTACGTTACGGCGCTGGGAATCTTTGTACTCTATCGAGAATCACTAAATATATAGCAGAAGCACAAGACCAGTTGTTTCTGCTATGTATTCAGAGATTCTCATTCTTACACTAATTCTGATCCCCCACACACATGTATAAAGTTGACACTAAAATCCTTGGCATCCTACTTTGAGAGGAAATATATTAGTCGTACAGTAATTTCTTATACAGCTAGAAATTTCTTCTATATATAAAATTCTGTGACTTCTGTTAATCCGTCCGTCTGTCCGTCACACCCTATAAAATAGCCATGCACTGACCGATCGAAATCAAATTTTGGAGAGAAGTGCAAACAGGTAAAGGGTTAAAAGTACAGTTCGTTTTACTAGGGTGCGTTGCCTAGTACAATAAATTTTCATTAGTTCTTTCGGAAAATTAAAAGTTTTATTATTAACATACAAAATACTTCCACTATTTTAAAAACAATTTAATGGTTAAAATAACAAATACTTATTTAATAAAAATCCAATGTTCTTTTTTTTTTTGCATAACTTTTCTTTAAGTTTTTATGCATACAAGAATCCATTTTCCAGTTTGTCCTGCGATTACGTGAATAATAAACAAATCACAAGGTCAAACGCTTCAAAAAGTTGGAATTTGGCTTCAGAAATGAATATTTACGCATGGCCAGTTGTATGTTGCATGCTCAAGAGTAAAAAATCCTAAGAGTTTATTATTCGCTGTTAAAAAGGAAAAAGAAAATATTGTTTACCATGAAGTCCTACAAAATTAAATTAATGAAATTATTAAACCACCAAGTAGGGTTTTTGTCAAAATATTTTTCCAAACAAATCAGCTTATTCAAATTTCATCAATTGGTTTGCGAAATTGAACGAAATGTAGAGTTTGTATTTTTCGGCAAAATGTTAACGATAAATTTCTTGTATATGTAAGAAGGTAAATAAATACATTTTTTTAAAATTTAAACTATGAATCAATTTTCTCATAAAAACATTTTACTTGAAAATATTCTTAACTTTCTTTTTAAATCAATACTTTTTTTTTAATATTTGGTGTTTGTAGCACGTACGATAAACTAATGATTCACCTGCTAGATATGCGGATGCAAATTTTCCCAAAAGATTTACATTTGATTGATTTATTTGTTTTTACGGATTATCAACTCTTTGCAGTTTATTTAAAGCCAGAAAATATTTTTTGAGTGTGAGAATTTTTTGAAGATAATAATGATTTATTGATACAACTCCTACTAATTAACCCATAGCTGGAGAGAGAAGAGATGGATTCATACTTTTCCGAAGGGTATTTGCGAGTAAGTGAATATAACGAACCAGACTGGAATTGGAACTTGGTTCTGCGATTTCAAATTCCGAGCCGTCATCCATTACCCCACTCCACACATCCAAGTTTACTGCACCTAGTATTGCGAAACGGTGACCGATCTAGACCAGGATCGGTGATCGTACGAGAATCGGTGTTTCAACGAGATA